CTTGAAAACATCAAGGAAAGGTTAAAGTTCTATCGATGAAGTATTACTCAAGAGCTCATCTCTTTAATCGAAGAACCAGGGTTTAAATATCTTGGGCATTTATAACCATCTGGATCTTTTTATCACCTATTTGATAAAAAGTTCTATAGTAAACTTTTATAGTAAAAGTTCTATAGTAAACCATCAAAAATATTGACGTTAAAAAGTTTGTAGCTGTTGGATCTGATGGAACTGCCATAAACACAGGAATTAAAGGTAGCGCAATAAGCTTGATGGAAAAAGAATATAACAAACCGTTGCAATGGTTGGTTTGTCTTTTGCATGCAAACGAACTTCCTCTTCAACATCTGCTAATTTATTTGGATGGATCAACTACAGGACCAAAAGCATTTTCTTGCCCAATTGGTAAGGCACTTATTAATTGTGAGAAATTACCAGTTATTGAATTTAAAAAGATTGATGTAACTCTTCTAAAAGTTGAACTTAAAGATTTGAGCACAGATCAAAAATATGTGGGAAATGTGCGAAGCAATATCCCAAGGTGAGTGTTCACTAACCCTATCAAAAAAAACTTTAGAGGTACTAAATCACTTCCAATGGCTGACAACAGAGAATAGACTTCTATGGTTGTATGTGGCGAGCGAGGATTCATCAACAAATCTGATTCATTTATTTATTAACTTATGTCGTAAGAGTTTATTCTTTTGTTTGGTTTAGTATTAAGATGCACCCTTCATGCAAAGATGGTGCGCGGCATCTTTTTAAACTTATTCAACAGTCACGTTACTTATCGCAGGAACTGCGAGATATAGTAGATCCTGTATTACAAAGTAACGACTATTTTGCTCATCCAAAAATCTCTTACTAGCAATGGTTAGTGACAAACGCCAACAAACTCGTGGTTTAGGATTAAGATGCATTCTTAAAATGCGACAGAAAAAAGATCACACACTGCGTACTTTCAGTTAACTTAATCTTAGATGCACATGATTACATAGAAAGCTTAACTTAGATGCACATGATTACATAGAACTCATCAACTGGAAATAAAATAAAATAACTGAGCCACCGTTGACAGCTGATGAGGCTTCGCTGGCTGTACGTGGAGAAAAAACTTGAGATGGTTTTATTCAATTGCGTTTACATGCATGTCTTATAATGCCAGTGTTTAACACTTAAGTCAAAATATCGTGCTTCCGAACCAATAAATTGGTAAAACTTTTTGGTAAAAATTTTTTCAAACTTGATTGTATATGTTAAAATAATTAAGGAATAGATATTTATGTTTGACCCTTTAATTTGATATAGACTTGTTGACTTACTAACTTGCTAATCTGCCACAGTGATTTTTTTTAAATAGACCTTTTTTTATTTTTACAAAGTCGGTGTTTAAAGTAGTACTTATTGACATTTTAAATATTTTTAGTGCATTGATCCCAATCTACCTCCCTTTCCCCCACGAAAGTGTTAAGTAGCCGTGGCGCAGTGGATAGAGTTCTGGCTCAGAACCCAGAGGTCCGGGGTTTGATGCCGGCTCTAGCCCAATAAGCGACCTTGGTAGAAAGGAGGAGTGAACTTCCAGTTAAATGCTCTCCCATGGTGCTCCACGATAAGACCATAAGGACTTCTGGGAGCACCTAAATAACAAAAAAAAAAAGTGTCACGCCGTGAAATATATAACCTTAAAAGGTCATCGAAATATGTTCATATTAGATAAAAAAGAATGACATATATGTCATTCTTTTTAATTATTACAGTTTTTTCTGAAAGAATTTGACAAAAAAGTATTATCTTTAATCAAAATAATAATTGACTAAAACACTCAATTGCCATAAAAAATACCTCATTTTAATAACTTTGTCCCCTATGAGGCAGCTGAAAACATTGAAATTTTTGAAATTTTTTTTTCCAAATATGAACACTTACCAAAAGACAACTTTTTCTTGCTATTACATATAAATATTCCACTTTTAATTTTTCACTGCACTCTAATGCTCGGCCAAGTATAAAAAAAAAGTGAATGTTAATGAAAATATTTTTAAAATTTTGTGTTTAAATGGTATGATTAAATACTCTTAAACTTGAATAATAACATTTTGTAGTGTTTAAATAGTGTTGAGAAAGTAAAAAACTTTTTTTAATTTAACAGTAAAAAAAACACAATGTTTTTCAAAAACATGGGACATTTAGAGACTACTTCAAAATAAAAAAAAAAACCAGGACTAATAGTCCATAATTTAAAAAAACACAGGACTGTTAAAGGGTTAAGCATTCCAAAAATTTTTTTTAATATTGTATAAAATTTGCTTTGATATTAAAAAAAAAAAAGTTTAACATTAGATTAATTATCAAACTTCTTTTTTTAATAGAATGAAAATATATATGCGCAAGCGTAATTTAAAACAAACTAACATTAGCTGGTAATTTGAACATTAATTATTTGCGAGTTTAAAAAAAACATTGATTTTATTTAAAATTATTATTTTAAAAAATGAAAAAATGGGAGTTCCTTAATTTTTGAGCATTAAAAATTTAGTTTTAATTAAGAAGAACTATTACGCAGATGAAAATCTGAACAAAAAAAAACAATAAAAATTTCGACCATCCAAAAAAAAAAAAAAAAAAAAATTGACCACCAATTCCATGTGGTAGCCGGTCAAATGACCACTTGCCATCGATTTCTTATTTTCCATGCTGAACCAGTGTAAAAATTTAATTAAAAATCATTTTAAAAAAACTGTAAAAAAAAAAAACAAAAAAAAAAAAACAACAATAAAAAACTAAGGAGCTTTAGTAGTTTTTGAAAAGCTATTTAAATTTTATATTTTAAATTAAAAACTTTTTAAAAATAAAATATACTTTTTAATACATAATATTTTTATATTTGCATATTCAACTTAGAATCTAAAATACAACTTAATAATAGATACATTGTTATTTAAAACATAATTAAAATTTTTTGTTTAAATTTGAATTACGTGATACAAAAACAATTCAAAAGTATCAAACTCATTCATTCGAGTTTTAATAACAAGTTTTAATAGTCTTTTCTTATAATTACTTGCTTACCTAAAATATTCATCATAAATTCTGTTTTTTTTTTTTGTTGTTGTTTTTAAAAAAAAGAGAAAAAGTTAGATGGCCAAAGCATTTTTGTTTCAATAAAGGTTTATATTTGTAGTGGACACACTTTTTTTAGTTATTTTAAATTAGAAAAAAATGTTTCACAAAAAAGAAGAATATCAAAAAAGCCAACCAAAGTGCTTATTGCCCATGTTGTCCGCCTGTTTTAGACGGGCAATTCACCGCTCGTGCACTTATTTATTTCTGCTGAGTTGTATCTATATACACATATATATAATATATATAATATATATATATATATATATATATATATATATATATATATATATATATATATATATATATATATATATATATATATATAGATATATATATATATATATGTATATATATATTATATATATTATATATATATATAATGTGTATATAGATATGTATATCAATACAGTGGTTTACACTGGATTTTGAAGTGTTTGAGTTTTGACACTTATACACATTTTGCAAACTCCAAACTTCTGTATGTTCATATTTATGTCAAATGAGAATGTTTTGCAAAAAGTTGTGGTGATTGGAGCTTGGGGACAAAAAAATCCTAATTTTTGGGCCCACCCAGCCCTTAACGTGAGAGCAACAAGTTGATAAAATAATTTCTTTAGTATTTTTATCTAAGTTTATATTAATAGACAAATTTCAAATTTCATGCAATAACCTCTTAGTTTTTAGTTTTTATGACCCTACAAAGTTTACAGCCCCCTCAAATTGAGGGGGCTGTAAACTTTGTAGGGTCAAAACTTTATATGGTCATAATTTTCGAAAAATAAGAAATTATTGGATGAAATTTGAAATTTGTTGATGAATATAAACTTAGATAAAAATACTAAAAAAATTATTTTATCAACTTGTTGCTCTCATGTTAAGGGCTGGGTGGGCCCAAAAATAGGGTTTTTTTTGTCCCCAAGCTCTTATCACCGCAACTCTTTGCAAAACATTCTTATTTGACATAAGCATGAACATACAAATGTTTGGAGTTTGCACAATACCTGTAAGTGTCAAAACTCAAACATTTAAAAGTCCAGTGAACACCACTGCAATATAATATATATATATATATATATATATATATATATATATATATATATATATATATATATATATATATATATATATATATATATATATATATAAAAATACAATAAAATATAAACTCCAAAAAATACAATTAAAAATAAAATACTTGTCACAAAACATTCTTATATTTAAAAAAAATTAAAACTCCTGAGTATACTATAATAAATTTAATAAAAATATAGTGCTTTTAAAATCATTAAAATTAAACTAAATATGAAAATAAAGTATTGGCAATATTAATGTTTTACATTTTTTATTACATTTATTATGGAATTGCATATTCTCTACATTTCTTAGCTAAAAGATTTTACTTTCCTTAGGTTGTGCATATGAATTTAAAAGAAAAAAAAATACATATACACACAGGGTCTATTCTAGAAAAAAAATTAGGCAACAATACCCCTCCATCCCAGAGAAATTTAGCGGAAAATCAGCATTTTTTGGCAAAAAAACAACAACAAACAAAACAATATTTTCTGTAAAATAAAAAAAAAGGGTCCTCAAATTTTAATTTGGGTGGCGCCTAAATACGGTCGATGCTGTTGAAAACGGTCTAGAATAGCCCCTAATATATATATAGAAAATTATATATATAGAAAAAAATCTTAAGAAAAAACAAATAGATTTATTTTGCACCTCACACAATTCCAAATAATGTAAAAAAAAAAAAAAAAAAATTTATAAAATTCTAAAACAAGATATAAAGTAGGATGTAACATTATTAATTACTAATAAAAGAACACCGAATTGTTGATAATTGTTATAGATTAAACTAATAAAAAATATACCTTCATTTTTAAGCCAATAGTTTTACTGCATAAGTTTTTTAATTTATTCCAGTTATCAGCTTGAAAACGCACTGTAAAATTTAAAAAAATATTATCAATAATATATCATTTATTTATGACTGATTATAATACAAAAATAATAATTAAAAACAACATTTAAAAGTGTATAATTATTGTATAACTCAACTTTTTTTTTTTGCAGGATAATTTTATACATGTATCAATGCATCTATATAATTATATAAAGCTAAATACAACATATATCGCTATGAAAATTATAGCAAATGTTTTTAAACTGAAAGTTTTTTTTAACTGCAAGGGTCATAACTAAAACTTAGTTTTGACCAAAATGAGCCGCTTCCAGTTCATTTTGATAGAAACACTAAGCATTTTCAGCCCAATCATCTTGAATTACTGCATTTTCAGAATCAATGTTCATTAAAACCTCTTTCAATTTATTGATTAGTTTTTCTTAACAAAAAATTTTATTATTGAAAACGCTTGAATTGTTTTTGTTAATGTATCTAAAGTAAATTGCATATTTTCATGCAAACTATAAACACAAACATGCAGAAATTTTGTAAAATTTTGCATTGTATGAGTGCAAAATTTGCTAATTTTAATTTTGATATCCTAGTGTATTTCCTTGAACAACTTAAAAGCTGCTTTTAGTATATAATATAAATTATTGTTTGTTATTCCATCAGCCAATTGAATTCTAGTGAAATCTGTTTTGTTTAGGAAACTTTGTCTTTATTATCAAAACTTTAATTGCTAAAATATCACTTTCAGAAAGTCCATACAGTTTTGAACGTGCTAGAGGTAGACTTGGATTTTCTTTACAAGCAGAACTATTTGAAAGAACTACAGCTTGTTTTTCCTTTGAATTGTTGTGCTTCTAAAACTTTTTACAATGCTTTTCCTCTTTGTTGAAAGTTTTCTATATAAAACACAACTTTTTAGAACCTTTAGTTTTGCTTTAGTCAAACAAGTTGCTTTTTTATTAGGATCAATTTTTTTCTCAATACCACTTAGATATTGCTCTGGAAATTAGGACTTCGAGAAACATAACTAGCTTGAAATGTTGCATAAAGTTTTTTTCTTACTTTTAATTTGGACTCCATTTCTTAAAATCAAGCCTTACCAGGAAAAGTGTGCGGTTTTTCGCCTTGTATAAGTTTCTATTCTAGGAAAAAATTTGGACAGCAGTACCCCCTCCTTCTGGCAAACTTTAGCGGAAAATCAGTGGTTTTTTCACAAAAATAATAATATTTGCAAAAAAAATTATTTAAAAAAAAAAGTTCCTCAAATTTTAATTTGGATGGTGCCCAAATAGGTCGACGCTGTTGAAAACGGTCTAGAATAGCCCCTGTGTATGTTCACGCATGAGATTTATATTTTATACAACATAAGTTTTATATTTTATACAACTTGGTCTAAACTTCGAATCCCACCTCTACTTAAAGTTTTTTTTTTTTTCTACATGCCCCCTAACTTTTGGTCTACTATGTTATTGGTGATACATACATAAACAATAAACAATTATTTTTAATATTTGCATAACAATTAATAATTATTATTATTAATAATTATTCACCAGTAACATAGTAGACCATATGGGAGGGGGCAAGTAGAACTAAAAGTACAGTCGAATGTTAAAAAACAACAGGTATCCAAAATTACAAAGCACTAAAAGATTGGAGATAAAAAACGTACAGGAATAGAAAGGTAATATGAACAATATTAAAATATGGTTGAAAAGGACTGTTATTTTAAGTTTAATGTTACATCAAGACAACTGACAATTTTAATATTACATTGGATGGAGATAAACAAGTTGTTACTTTTAAAATGTTTGTAAAATGCATTTTTAATTTTTCCATTTGTTGGTCGCTTTTAAAAATAGTAAGCCCATCACCACGATACAAGCCAAAATTATTTTATCATAATGCTGAGAGCTGAATGAGAGCATAATGAGAGCTGAAACAATATAAAAAACTAACTAGTTCCCAAACATCAGCAGCATCAAATGCTCCCATTGTGACATCAAAAAATCTGCCTCTTTCTTTTTTCCAGGCTTCATTATGTTTAAAAATAAAAGATTTTCTTGCATGATATAATATTGTCATCATGATATATTATTATCGTCATCATTTGATATGATATATTATTATCGTCATCATTTATAATAGGGTCAAATCATTATATTTCAACCAATTTTACGGAAACTTTGTAGGACACCATCTCAGATTTTGCTGATTTTCACATATCATTATCTACATTAAGTAGATAGGTTATATTTGAAATTTCAGACTTCCAAGTGCAACGGTTTAGAAAATATAGCTTTATAAACAATGCCCAGTGGCCCCCCTTGATTTAAGACTTATAAAAACAGACTACTTTAAATCCTCATAACTTTTTTCTATTATTTCAACATTTTTTCTAGAAGTGTTTTCTGAGTAGTTCTGTGCTAAAAATACTGGTTTTTGGTAACTTGTATCATATTAGAAAAAATTTATAGCCTTAACTTTGAAAAAAATTTGAAAAATGTTAAAAAAGGCCAAATAAAGTTAACTGTAGTAGTTTTCTATTCATCAACAAGTCCTAACAGTTTAGTTTTCTGATCAGCTACTATTATCTGCAACAAATGGGCAAAAAATAAGCTGCTTGTTGCAGTTTAAAACTGAAATATATCTAAAAATGTATTGTCCATTTGCCAAAAAAGTCTTCAGCCATTTTGAAATGCTCATAATTTTTTCCAACACTTTGTATTGATCTAAGCTTAACAGCAATTAAGACTATAAGATCCAACTATCTGAAAATGCAAACATTTTTTACTTGTTGCATTCACAACAAAAATGGCAACATTTTAAAATAGCCTTATTTTTCAATTATCGAGAGTTGAGCGCATTATTGGAAACAAGCGCTCCCCCCCCAAACCTGCCTAATAGCATATTCAATGGGTGCAACTGATTATAGGTTGTTTCTTAAACAACCTATAATCAGTTGTAAAACCTTGTGTTCTGGAGCTCAGGCTCATGTAATGTGGCGATAATGTCACTAACTGGATACAAATGAGTATCTGGTGTTTTTGGTATAATTTGAATTTGAAATAATTGCCAGCTTTATGTAAACAGCTGACAAATATATAGTTGCCTTTAACATCTATTGCCTTTAACATCTATTACCTTTCCACAGAAAAATTCACTAAAATAATATGCTAATACCCAATCAGCAATATTGATGTCAACATTTACTGACTTTTGAGTATTAATGCAAGTATCATCCAGCATGTGAAAAATGTCAAATGTTGAGCTGATTGATGTTGCATAAGTTTTTAAACAACGGGATAGGATAGCTTTTAAACAATGGGATAAGGAGAGAAACCATGATATAAGTGGGTCCCTTTAATAGAAGGAACATTCTTAAATCATTTAGAAAGTACTTCATGAGTGTAACAGCTGTTTTTTAGTTTTCAGAAATATAGAGAAATCTATAAATAAACTTTATCATAAATCTTATAATCCAAGAAAATAATTTATAAAATGCATTTAGAAAGCTCCATTTTCTCTAAAATTTTCCTAATAAAAAACTTTTATAGCAAAAAGTTCAAAGTTTGTTTTATAGGATTGACTTTTTATAACTAAGAATAATATAAGCTATTTTCTTTATTTCAATTAAAAGTCTACAACAATATAGGATACAAGACATCCATTATTTGAAAATTTTAGAAAATTAACGTGCACTTAGACAAGAAAGTGCAACAACTGATTCTTTTCCCCAAGAAAAAAAAGTTTTAAGTTCTTAAAAATTGGATTACTAACTTCAATTATTTTTGCTTCAGCCATTCTTACAAACATAAACTTATACTAACTTAAAATTACTTTTTTCTGTTTTAAATACTAATTAAAATTATAAAGCTCACTCACTAAACATCATCAGCAGTATTGTGAAGCAGTTCTGCTTCTTCACAAAGTAATTTAGTTCTTAGTTAACTTCTATCTAGCTAAAATTCAATTAGCTAAATTAACTAACATTTTTAGTTGATTTCTATCTAGCTAATTGAATTTCTACAGTAACTCCATGATATAATTATTTCATTTGATCATCTTACTAAGAATTGTTTCAAATGTGTTAAATTTTTTAAACTACGGGAAGCATAAAACAGTTATTGAAAAAGTTTTTTTATTTATAAATAATTCATCTAGCGTTAGTTTTATTGGTTGAATCTTGTTGGACCTTTCAGGGCTGGGGGTTGCTTTATTTTATTGGCCTATATGTGCCACAGCGTAAAAATAACTAAAAAAAATACTGAATGGTCCTCTTGACTTTTTTGCGGCCCCTAACATAGTGAGTCCTGGGGCTATAGCATTTCTACCCCCCATCCTTTTCTCAACCAACACTGGAAATAAGACATGAGTATATAAATAAAAATTATATATACTCTTTGATAAATCGAAGAACATTTGTTTCCTTATTAAACAATCATTAATAGTAAGTTGTTACTTTGTATAAAAAATCTCGCTTAATTTTATAAAAATATTATAAAAGAGCAACGTTTCAAAAATATTTGCTCTAATCGTATTTATTTTGCTTAAAGTTTTTTTTGCGTTAAAAGCTATTTTTCTTTTTTTAACTGTCTCTCATCGATCCAGTTAATCTTATTGCGTTTCTTTGTTTGTTTTTGAAATGTTCTCAAAACGACTAAAAAATCTGTCCGCTTTTTGCAACTAAATATTATTTCCGTGGTCAATCATCGAGTTCGATCGCTCCCGCTTCCCGACCAAGCCTGAATATATACATCTATACATACACATAATGTGCACATGAATACATACACATAACAATATATTATATACTTATATAACTATAATTTCACATTATAATGTAATGTAATGATTGCTACACAAACAATTCCCTCTGGACGATAATTTCTAACAATTGTTTAGAATAAAGATTAGCCATTGCGGAATAAGTAGTTCCCTTGGGAGAATTAAATCCAATAATTTTAAAATAAATTAAAAATTATCAATTGCCTGTTTGCGCTTTTAAAAAAAGCATTCATTTTATT